CATAGAAGTTCCATGTCTTCCGCATGTAACTCCTCTAGCCATGATCCTTTGCACATCTCAAAGCCTGGACTTGTAAAATAGATGTAAAGTGCTATAAAACTAATGTTAGTTTTTCAAGGGAACTAGACGCGCGTTTATTTCTCACTCTTTGAATTTTCCAACAGGAAGAACAATTCTGCTGAATATGTGGTTGACAACAACTGTGGGTTTCCTATAGATCGCTTTCATGAAGTCACTGGGAAGGAAATACTTTGTGATGAAAATGTGTTGGTAAATGTACATTTCAACATAATAGTGTGTTTTTTGTCTGGAATCCAGTGCTGAACACACAGTGCTGATATGCTTATGAACTAGCTTGTAGCACAGTCGTTTTGAAAGAGACAAAATTAAATAGTCATAATGTGTCTATGGGAGGGTTTTACTATGGCTTTGTAAGAGAGTGACATCACTTTTCCAATGACGGTACAGCAAAGTTGCTAAGTGTCATGCCTGGTGGCTTTTTACAGTCACGTTAAACATTGGTAGTAGCGATCAGTGCTTTAGGATGAGCAATAAGAGAGAGAAACCGGAACCCTGAAGCTGAACTGCCGTGAAGCTGGGGAAAATATAGATTCCAGGCAGAATTTCCAGCTAGGGGGGAAAGTGAAAAGTAGGAACTTCAAAGAAGGGGTTTATGAAATCTAGAGCCACCAACGTGGCTTGGTGTCTTCTGATGCAGAATCCTCTCTGACGCAGCCATCTTTCTGTTCTTGGCTTAGTCAGCTCTATGATTGCTGTGTGTTGTTGCAACCCTTAGGCTCCAATAGACATGCAGTGAGGCTGCTTTGATGTGCTGTAAATCTAGTGTGGTGGAGCACGGAAATTAACACACTCCAGCAGCCTCCAATGTCATGTGTATCAGTGGCCCTGCACTGAAAAATGGTGGCTGGGCACTTTAAACTAAAGCTCATTTGACGAGCTTTAGTTCCAAGCACACTGCTGTGATTTTTCAGCATGGGGATGCTGATACGCATGATGCTCGGGTGTTTTTAATTAGCGTGGCTTGCTAATTACGGTGCTTCCTGCCCCGCCTCCGCCCCCCCGCCCCTCCAGGGAGCACGTCTATAAATGCCCTTTCACACCAACATCGGCTTAGATTCTGGGCTACTGTATTTAGAACGTGAAACAGATTTATCCTTTAGGAAACTAACTTTTTGAAAATTATGGTCAAATGCATGCTTCCGTAGGCACATTTAATGCAGAATAGCCCTCTGCAATAGGCTTAATTTAAATTGTGCCAAGGTATTACCCTGTAACATGTTAAACAGCAATTTGAAAGATATATAATTATATCCTTTGTGACTGTCTTCATTTTCCTAGGTGAACCCTCTAAGGAGCTTCCCTGAACCAGAAATTGTGCGGGGTTCAGAATCATGCATTGCAACGCATAAAATGCAGTTTGCATCAGAAATGCGTATATTGAGACAGGTGGGTACCGTGCAAGCAGGTTTTAGCTCATTTCCACATTAAACTGGGGACAAAAGGGAGAGAATATTATCTCTGAAATACATATCTCCAGTTTATGTCAAATGCACGTGTAAACTGGTTAGAAAACATGGCAGAATAAAGAAGAGCTAGTCGGTACCTTTTATTCAGGAAGCCTGTTGTATTGGAAACTTGCTATGTACTATAACTTGCTGCATACCATGGAAAACCATTCTCCCAGCTTGGGAAATCTGAACACAGACCTACAGTTCCAGCCAGTTTTTCCCATCTTGTTCCCAGAGCAGCTGCATTTAGAGTCCCTCCTTAAAGTTCACTTGAATGAGCCTGAACTGTAAGTAACTTGCCATCTGTCAGGGACTTCACATCACATATTTACCAATAAGAGGAGATTCAGCTGGGGTGGCAGCATGCTTGAACAGCTTGTTTCCCTCCCACGTGGGGGTGGGATGATTTAAGTGCTAGAATCCTGCATTTGTGATCATGTTCTGAACAAAAACTATTTAATAAAACCACAACTTAAACCAGACCCAGAGGACTTTGGAGATGAGTGAAATAAATGTGCAAATGATGAATAGAGTTTGGTGCTGTTGCTGATCATCAGTTTATGACTTCCTCACTCCCCCACAATGAGCTTTGGATCAGGCTACTTAAAACAAAGCAGAGACCCAGCTGTGATCCCCATTCTTGTGCTGAGAGTAGCACTTTTCCACATAAACAATCCCAGTGCAGCAAAACAGGCCATTTAGGAGTAAGGTGCACCTCCATATAAATCACCCTCAAATTGTTCCCTTAAGATGATCTTCAGTTTGAGATAAAAACATCATTTGTTCTTCTTTTCCAGAAACAAACCGTTGAGTTGATTCCGCTCACCAGGGTGGAATATGAGTGGAAAGGGAAGTCCGATTCCTTCTACATCTTTGGAAATGAAAAGAAAGTGTATGCAAAGGACTACCCAGCAAAATGCTGCTGCTTGGTCATGTAACTCACTGATAGGTTGGAAGCTGATAACTAGAACTGGGTAAAACTTTTGCTGAAATAATATCTGTCTGGGGGCAAAAATATTTGCTGAAAAAAGAAGATATTACAGGAGGACCAAAATTGGGTCACAGCTTGCAAATAATTTAGGCCAAAAAATGGAGGGGAAAATGTTTGAGAAAAATGAAAACATTGGCTTTATCTAAACTCAGTTTGTCATTTAAAAATGGATTTAAGTTTCAGAAGGAAAAAAGAAGCCTTTAAAAGAATGAAATAACCTGAGAATAATGCAAACTTATGTTGGGCTGATTTAAAAGTTTTTCCTTTATTTTTAAAAATGCTTTCTCCTTACTTTTCATTTTAGCCACCAAACCCCCACAATCTATATTTTAGCTCCGTTAAGAGAGAAATCATGTTTCTTATCAATCAAAACAGCATTCTCCTTCACAAAAACTGACCAACTTTTTCAGCTTTCAATTTATAGTGGACATAGTGGACTTCGCTCACAGGATTAGCAGAGATGGTTCTCTCTTAATAGTGCAATAACAATTCATGAAGGTCATTTAGTAATTTTAGCGCATCTAGTGTGTCCCTTCCCAAATCTACTGTGAAATGGAAAAAAAAACAACATTTGTCATAATGCAGCTTGGAACTGAGGGATAGCTAAAACTTTGTGCAATAGAGGTTTGAATTAAAATCTTTTTTTTTATTCTCATGGCTCTGCATTATATTTATTTTGTTAAATACAGCTTTAGAAGTCTAGCTGCAAAATGTGGCATCGGTATGATGCAAAAGGAAATAAGCTTTAGGGTGTCTGAAGTTAAGAAATATGGACCCTAATTTTCCAAGTACACTGTTAATTTGCAACACTAATGCATAGTCTTCCATGTCCTGAGTCAGATCCCAAGAATGTAGGGGGAGATGGGATTTGGAATGATGAAAGAAGGAACACTCCCTCCTTTGCTAAATGGATAGTTGATAGGCATCAAGCCTGCCTATCTCTTACCTTCTATCTTTAAATACCAGATGATGGTGCTTGAGGGCTGCAGGCTATCTTCCACTGAAGTAAAAGGCAGTTATGCTACACTCTAGTATAGATAGCAGTGTTATCTTTCATGCAAGTGCAGAGAGGAACTCCAGTCAAGTCCTAGAAGAGCAAGCAGGATCAGACTTGAAACCTTTGTATATAAATTGCTTAGTGTTAGATGACTAGATGCAAATTTAAGGTACCAACCAAACCAAATATATCCTTACCAACCAGTATCAGGAATTTAAAGGAATGAAATGTGGGGAGTTGCTGAAAGAAGCTCTGTCCTTTCACAGGTGAATTGTTTTCAATACCTTCTCCTTTGCTGCAATAATCCTCCTAATTCAGAAAAAAATATCATGTAAAACCACAAGACACCTAAGTTAATTACTCTGAGGTTCTACGTGTATTCTAGTTATGATTGTTTTAAGTGATTGGGTCAGTTTTCACATCTCATCAATCAGAAGCCTAACATTTATTTTTAAGAGGGGGGAAAAAAAAGTTGGTTATTATCTTTCTATTAGGTAGGGTTTTACATAAAATAAACGCCAAGCCTTGCAATAAAAGCTGAGAATTAGAAATGTTGTCAGCGTTGGACTGTTTCATTCATTCCTGCACCATAATTTTTATTTGTGAAACTCTAAAGAACAGAAATAGGGCACTAAGGGTGCAGACCAAAGTTGCATGTGATCAGCCCCCTGAAAGCACTCTACAGCCGTGATGTGACTTTTAAAGTGGCAGATCATACAAAAAATTAACCCGCATCAAATGAGGTATCAGATGTACGCGCTCTACTTTAGAGCACCTTAGGGAACGTGTGTTCCCTAGGGTTAATTTTTTGTGTGATTGGGGCTGGGCTGCATCTGGGCTGATGCAGACCTAATGCAGCCTAGCCCCTCCTCGAGGGCTGGCAGCAGGAAGGGAAGGGAGAGGGGTTAGCCAGCAGCAGCAAGATGTGGGTTATGGTTTGCCTGGCTTGAACTGAAGTGGGGGGGTGAGTGGATTCTAGCCCCCCCACCACACCTCATGGCCTCTCCCTGTCTCCCCTCCCCATCCAGTTCAGGCTGGGCAAACCAGGGAGATGCTGGCTAATCCGTCCCCCGTCCCTTCCTGCTGTCAGTCCTGGAGGAGTTGGTGCTGCTGGGGACAGGCAGGCAGGCTCGATTTCTACCCCCCACCCACCCAGCAGGTGAATGTCTGTTGGGTCGGGGGTGGGGGGGGAGGAATCTAACTCATAGTGCTTTTTATGTAAAGCACTATGAGTTCGAGTGGGGGCCTGCACATTTGGCAACGCCGGAAAACACTGAGAGACTGCATAGTTAAAATATCCTACTTTCTCTTGCTGTGGACAGGGAGGTGAGCAACACCCAGCATCAAGGAGTTAAAGGAAGGCTCCATTTGAGGCCAATATACAAACTTCAACTGGAAACAATCACAGTACGGCAGATATCCATAGCCTCATACGTTTATTTTTGACTGAAGCAAATAATATCACGATTCCCATGGGAATCTGCATGGAACTCTGTCACCATGACCCTGCTTCCTATCTTAGTCAACATTTCCACTGGCAAATAAATGTGTACCTTACTTTATAGAAAAGGAAACTCCAATATTCATTAACAGTTGAAGATGTATGTTTTACTGCAACTGCTATTGATTTTATTAGCCAAAACCCTACTTAGATATGAGTAAATAGAAAACCTAAAGCCAATTTCCTAGTTTTCTCATTAACTATTTTATCTTGGGCAAATTGTTTTCACCTTCATGTGTCCTTCTGTAAATTAGTGCGATCTTCTGAGGAGACCCTCATGTGAAGACTTACTGTTAAAACATTTAGAAAGATTTTTTTCATTTCCCAAGTTCAGTGAAAGACCTTGACTCGCTCCAATCCAATATGCTGCAGCCATATTTCATTATTTATTGTATTATATTTCCAGGAATCCTTGTTATTCCTGCCCCCTCCATTTTTAACCTCATAATATTATCCTACTGGATGAAATGTAGAGATTTCTTTCATAATATTTATTTGTTTTTTGTCAGAAAGAGTTGATAAGTCAATAACAATGTTATCACAAATTACCAGGCAGTTTTGTTTTGTTTATATCAAACTATTCACATCCATGGGAGGATGTGATAGTTTCTAAGTAGTCAGTTTGAATTTGACTGCTGACAAAATTAGGGGAACCAAATCAAAATGTAATCAACAATGTCTGAAAATAAAAGGGCAGTATTCAAGAATGTATCCCCATCCACAACACCAACATAAGAAAATAGCAGTGCTCACAGGGACTCTCAAACTGTGTGCTCTCTCTCCTCTCCCCACCATCCCACAGGCCTCAGAGGCCTATAACCACATTAACTACATTAAGTCTTCTACCTTCTAACTTCCACCTTGTCACATCTTTGTGTGTGCAATCTCCTTCCACCTTGTCACATCTTTGCCTATCCCTTCCAGGGCAGTTTTTATGTTATCTTCCCATTGTTGCCTTTGTCTACCCTGAGGTCTGATACCATCCACCTCAGCTTGCAGTGTCTGCCTCACATGCCTTCTCTTGTCAGGTCTTGCAATATAACCTACCCATTTCCTTCTCTGCACTGTTATCTGGCTCAAGACAACAGATCTTTTGGAAAGGTCCACAAACTCTTGATTGTCTTCTCCGCTAGACTCTGGTTTTTTGTACTACACCAAATATTTTCCTTAGCACTTTGTTTTCAAACACTTCCAGCCTTTTTTCGTCGCCCTTATCAGTGTTCAGGAGTCAGGTCCTTATCAAATTCTATTCTCAAGAATTAAACAGCACAAAATGGATGTCTTTAATGCGGGCTATAGGCAGAGCTGGCTTCAGGTGTGGGTGACGTGGGCAACCTCCCAGGGCATCATGGTTGAGGGGTGCTGCACACGCACACAGAGCAGCATCCTAGTCAGTGGCACTGCTGCAGGCAGGCAGGGGAACATGGCACAGTTTGGCAGGGAGGCAGAGCCACCTGCATTGCCCAGCGCCGCCCCCCGCCTCCCCTAGGCACTGCTCAGAAGGAGCTGGGCCAGGCAGTGAGGGTGGTTCCACCTCCCCACCAGACTATGCCCTGTACCTCTGCCCACCTGGTTCTGCAATGTGGGTGACTTGGGGGGGGGGGGGGAGGGGATACTGGGGAGGTTGTTGGGGAGGGGCCGGGCGCACGACAAAATACAAGTTCACCCAGGGTGCCATTTTCCCTAAGGCTGACTCTGGTGTAGCTATAACTTGGATCTGATGTACATTGGAAAGGAGAAGACATGATGTAGATGAAAAATTTCAGCTTGCATTCCGTGGCCTATGTCAAGGTCATACCTAAATATCAGTTTAAATATACTCATAAATGCCTGCCCCCTAACCTCTGTGTCCCAGCCACTAGACTATTGAGGAAGGCTCCCTTTGGTGCTTTCTCTTTCTAGCCACAGAAATCTTCAAGTTTTGGTTTCATCCTGGTTCAGCTTCAGTAGGAAGGATGGAGGGTCCCCCTCAGCCTTGTGGATAGCCTGGTGGTTAAAGGACTCTCTCCTGGGAGCTGAGTGAGGTGGATTTGAAACCTTTGAAGCAGAGGAGGGTCTCAAACCCAAACCTCTTGCTTCCAAAAGCAAGTGCTAATCAGTGCTAGGGGCAGGCATCATTACCACCACTCCCTAACTACCACACATCTCTCTAAAAGGAGCTAAAATATCAGCCTACTCAGTCCACAGTTGCAGCATGATGTAGTATGTCGGGGAAGAGCAAGGTCCAGGTCCTTATAAGTATTTAGGTATTTATTTACATTTGAACATCTGTGCCTACGTTCTTTTTCCTCTTCCTTCAGTCCTAGTCCTTATATTCAGTCCGTTCTTGACACTTGTTAACCTGGCTGGGGTACTGAGGGGAGCCAGGCTGGGCACTTGTGGTGAGGGGGCTCTGTTGCACCTCACTCATCCCCCCCCCACCTCTAGCATGGACCTCTTGAGAGAGGCAGGAGCAGCAGCTGCCAAGCAAGCCCAGCTCGAGCTGGAGGTGGGAGGAGGGTGGAATGGAGCTCCCTTGCCTGGAGGCCCAGCCTGGCTCCCCTCCAAGACCCCAGTCAGGGTAGCTGGTGGGGGCCATGAGGCAAGGGGGCTCCATTTTACCCTCTCTCCCCCCACTCAGCTGAGGCCAGGCATAGCAACCCTGCAGCTGCTGCTGCTGCTCCCTTCACTCTCTGTCTGCTGACAGCCCTGGAGCTGGGAGGGGGTCGGGGATGGGGAGGGGAAGTCCTGGCCAGGGCCCCCACTTGCTAGCCAGGAGGGCCAGTGCAAGCAGGCTCGATTTCCCCCCTCAACTCAATAGGCAAATGTCTGTTGGGTTGAGGTGGGTGGGGCACTAACTCCTGGTGCTTTATATAACTTTCCATGAGTTAGAGCAGCGCCCTGAATGTCTGTCAGCGCCCTGCATCTTCTTTGACTCCCTGCTGGATGAATTTCAGTGACCTGTCAGCTGCATGCTGTTAATCCAATTACATTCTTCTGTGATAAAGCACAGACACCCTGTTGCAGACGATCAGAAAACTTCTGAGAAACAAACGGCTACCAGGGTAAATGCAATTAGAGATTTATTAAGGCAGCTTTGAACTTAGATGGAAAGGGAACAGATATGCTTAGTAAGTGAAGACAGTCCTCTGGCTTTTCACAGTCTTGGTATAATTTATAAGACGGGAGGGGCAGGGGAAAGAGATGGCTGTATCTGGATAGTTAGATGATGATCTGCAGGCTGCTTGATTCTGGTAGGGCCCCATTAACTTCAGTTGGGGTCCACCCAAGCAGATAGCAGGAGGAGGAGTTTTAAAATGTATTTAATATACTTGAACCCTTCTGTTAAGAGAGAAAATTAATCAGCAACAGGAAGGCAGCTTGATCATTAAGAACTATTTATTTTAATTTAGAAAACACTTAATGAATTGCAGCTTCTCAAATTGAAATCCTAGTCTTACAACAACTACACCCATCGCACTGATGGTACTCAATAAATACAGCTGTTACTGATGGAGATAATGCTTTGCATCACTACTAATGCACATTATTGAGTTAGCTCTTAAATTTGAGCTCACTTAATATGCCACAGTTCAGCTCAGGGTTCATCTCAATGTCCCCAAATGGTTGTAATTTCGAAAACAACAACCTTGAAGCAATTAGTAAATAGATGCATATCCCAGATATTCTAAAGGCTCTATAGCTCTATTCACAGTTACATCTCAGCAGCATTGGATGACCATTTGAAACAGGAGCTTAAACAGACAAACACCTGCAGATCCCTTAATCATTACAAGAATGAAGCCCTGAGCCCCCCTGCTAAAGGCGTGTAACATTTAGAGTACTTCAGACCAAGAAGGGCATTTAATCCTACAGACTTAAGACGTTCTTAGGGAATGTCCTGCCAATCAGACTCTTTCCTCTCTGATGGGGGATCCAGTTTATGATGCCAGTGAAAGGTAAGCATCCCTCCTTGATGATCTCTGAACAATATCTGCATATTTGTAAAGTTAGAAGTGTGCCTGGTAATTGCATGTTGGAGCTTTAAGCTGACAGGGTCACATTCCTCCCACTGGACACCATTCTCATAGTCCCTACCATGCACAGAGCCCAAGAATTTCCCTTAGCTGGGGGTCCATAGAGAACCTGTGTATAGACTATATATACGTGATGCTGCGATGTCTTGGTACAGGGTACAACACCAAGGACAAGGCAGAGGATTTGCCAGAATATATGTCATTACAGCTATTCTTTGTTTCTCACAGCATGGAGGGTTCCTAGTTATTCCACACTGTTATTAGGAATCTAGGACCCACTGTGCTAAAGGTGCTAAATACATATATATGGAGAATAAACAGACTTTCCTGCTTCAGGAAAACTGAAAACCTGGCTAATAAGAATATGCCCTCAATCAAGTCTCACACAAGAAGCAAGCTTGCTTCTTACTTTATGATCACTAGATTCCTGGCCAAAGCATCTTGTTAACAGGTTTCCAAGATACAAGTCAACACCTCATTATCCTTAACTATATCAGTCTGTTCCCAAAATTTCTGCTTGTAGGAGTGATGGATGACGTTTGAGAAAACACATTACCAAATGCTCTCTGCACAAAGCCCAGTACACTTTGTTTTTCTGGATGGAAGCTGAAGAACAAAAGGGTGTTTAGGAAATATATATGTGAGGAAATAGAAAGGGGAACAAAAGAAAGGGATGTAAAGCACAGAGGAGAGAGCTGGGAAAGTTTAATATAGCTCAGTCACAGAATATGTATCAGATCACGTGGCACAGCCATAGCACTCACTAGGGACCACACACACACACACACACACACACACGTCTGTCTAAGGGAGGGGCAATTGAGATTGTGTTCAGTACTCAAGTCCCCCGTTCCCCAGTTGGCAGATACTTAACAATCATAAAAGATTGTTTTAGACATTATCAATTAAGCCCTTTTATAGAGGTGAAAGGAGAAAGGCAGATGAAGCCCCAGAACAGGAGAACATTGGAGTTTTTTTAGGTACAAGAATGTGTTACTTGATGGGTTTTCAGTGGTAATGAAAAGGAGTGAAGTGGAAAGAGAGACTCTTGGCCCAGGATGAGAAAAATCTTTCTTCTGGTGTGATTGAATGAGGAAATGGACAGACTGGAACTACAGGACGAAGTGGTCTCAACCTCTGCTTTGAAGTTCTTTTACACCATGTAAGCTGCCCTGAAGGTCTTTAGTGAAAATGAATCTTGTCTGGCTAGTCTCAAAAAAGATGTCTCCAAGCCCTCTTTCTTCTCCCACGGGGTTTTTTCTCTGGGAGGATGTATGGGACTAATGATTTGTTTGGCATTTACTTTCATCAAAAACGTCTGCGTCATCCAGCTTTGCCTTGGATTCATTTGTCATTGGCATTTGATTTGTTTGTGAGGTGGGAGTGGCTGGAGGGGTTGTGTACTATGAACACGGCATTCACAGAAAACAATGCACTCCATGTGGACAGAGTTGTGGCTAGAACACCCTTTTTGCATCCTAACCCTCAAAGATGGATCCAGAACAGAATGAAAAAGATTGTAAGTAAAGCTAAGAGCGATATTGCAAGCTCTGCAGCTGGTTTCCTTATTTTTTAATTTGGCTATATAATGCATGCTTAAAATAGGTAGGACTTTGCTTCCAGGCTACACACAATGAACAATAGCACATTTCCAGCACTGAAAAGGCAAGTAAATAAATACATGCTTTCCAATCAGTGCTGGAAAAAAGTTTGACTGATGTCATTACTTGTCTATAGAGCCAGAAGGTGATCAGTACCAGTTTAGGGTCTGATGCAAAGTCCAAAGACATCAAAAGAAAACTCCTATTAACTCAATTGATCAGGACCTTACTCGTTAAAACCAACTGGAATTTCATATTTTAGATTTGCTTCATGGTTTTGTCTTTAATAAGCAGAAGGTTTTTGGATCCTATCATTAAACTAGAAGACAAGAATTAGAGTTTAAAAGGGGGATTTATATCTTCTCATAAACCCTTGTTTAATTAAGCCATCTGCCATAAAGGATCGTTGATCTTAAGCCTTTGGCTACACCTTTTTCATTATATTTTAATACAATGCTTGTCAAGTCGCCCATTACAAGGGGCCCTAGTGAAGTACTGCTGACACCAATATTTCTGAAATGTAATTGAGTTTTGAGCTTATTTAATTCATGAATGATAAAAGCTTTGCATATTGTGGGATGGAATAATGATGCTACAGGAAGTTACTGTTTAATCAAGAGAAAAATGAGATATTCATCCCTGTCCTTAAGGCACTGAGTGAAGCGGTGAGTTCCAGATACACCAACCAAAATGGTTAAGAATGAGGCGACGTTTAAATGATGCATTCCTATGCGGTATGAGGAATAAATTGTCTTTTAAACGCTATGGCTTAGTTTGTGCTACAAAGCTTTTCTAGCAGTACTCCGCTTCAAGTCCAAGAGTAGCACGACTCGCTCTTTGCTGAGTGAAGTAAGCTTCTACTTCTGTTTCACTACTAGCTTTGCTGGCACATCTACTGCATGGAGCCATGCAAAGATGCCATAAGTAAAGGGCAGCATGGTAGTGCTGGCTGTCCCCAGAAATCCCTACAGATTGATGGCTGTTGATGTAGCATATGTCTTGGTAAGGAGAGAGATGGACTTGAATTTTTGGCTATGAGCCTGATCTAAAGTCCATTGGGTTGAGGCCTGTCATCACCATTGATATATTTGTAATAGTATGTATCAATGGCAATCTTAATAATTATCCATGCAGAATACGTGCGTGCGTATCCATAAAATGGATATCAATTAGCAGATCATTACTGGTGGGGGGGTGGGAGGGGAGAAGAAAGAAAAACCATCACCCTAGTGTTTTTTATGTTTTATAAATATAGACCGCTTACAGATATGGAAAACCTCCCAGTGCTTTAAGCTTGGTGTACTCCCGCACCAAGTGCAGCACATGCCCAGAAGAGCTGTAGCATCAGCTTGACCTGGTTCACCCAATATCTGTATAGATCAGGTGCTTCAGTGGAGCTTTTGGGGCTATTGCATTGAATCAGCTATTAGATAAAAGCCTCAAAAAGCCCCACTAAAGCACCCGATCTACACAGATGCTGGGGAGCCAGGTCAAATTAAAATACTTCCCCTTCCAGTAAAGTACTGGGTTTCTTTTTTCATGTCTGTCAGCAGTCATATTGATGCTACTTATACCATCTCTTCTCCACTGAAAGTAAAATAAATTTCTAAATACTTAGTCACATTCCCGTAAATACACTTTTGTACATAGAAAGCATGAAAAATATATAGCAACAACAGTATAAGAACCTTCCCAAACCATTTAGGACTGCCTCCAAATGATTTTCTCCCTCTCCAGTAAAAATACACTTATTTGCTAATCATATCAAAATGAAATGGTAAAATAAGTGCCAAAATTTTCTGTATTTTATAGAAATAAAATTTCTGCGGGGGAAAAAACTGTATTGTGGTTTATTTTGGGGCTCATTAATTTTCTGTCTGGGCCAAGATCCAAGAGAGACTTAGATGCCACATGATGAACACTGCAGTCCATCACCAGAAGCTGTGAACCACAACAAGGCAGGTCACCAGGCTTCCTATATAACATCCAGAGAGAGTTAGGTGCCTCACAAGGGAATATACAATATTGAGCAAGCTGAGTGGGACATCTAAAGCAAGCAATATAGAAATGTTGAAGATAAGGGGTATGTCATAAATCCTGGCCCTACCTGCGTTTATGTGCCCCTTACTCTACAGTACTGGGAGATGACTCCATCAAAGCCAGGTATATCCTGCAGAAGGTAGATGTCTAACATCAAACCCTTGTATCTAAAAGAAACAGGAAACACTTAGCTTCTTTAAAGCTGGAGGGGAAGGCTGACGGGGTTCCCTTTTATACACTCAGCCAAGATGCAGGACACCTGGGATCAACTCCTGTTTCAGTATACATTTCCTGTGATATTGCACAAACCAGCTGACTATAAGGTTTGTGGGGAAGTACTCTCAGCCACTCCTAATTAAATTGTTTCATTTTGCATGAGAGAGAAAACTCATCTAGCCAAAGACCTCACTCTTTACCCTACTAGTTAGGGCATTCACCTGGGAACAGATACGGGTTACTTCTCTTAAGACTATTTCAGTACTTTCTTCAATGGCTGTTTTTGCTCCTTAAATGAGACAACCTTTGGAGCAAACACTGGATCTGGTACTAGCATCTCTCAGGCAAGTGCCCTAACCATCAGGACAGAGTTAAATTCACTCTGGCTCACTCTCTCTGCCCCAGTTTCTCATGAATTCTTTGGTGCAAAGTGAAAGAGCTTCACCAGGAGAAGAGACTCTGCATTGCAGAACAGCAAGTGCCCTTCTAGGTAGGGCAGTCTTCTCTCATGTGAGAGGGGAGGGAAACAGATTACGGGTCTCCTACTTCCTGAGCAGGTGCTTTAACAATGGAGCTGTTTGTAGGCATTTCACCTACCCTTCCTCCTCTGGCTGTGATTTAAATGAAAACTATGGATGCAACTCCATTTTGTGTTGAGGCCAATCAGATGGTGTTCTCAGAGCATGCCTTACTGCCACAAACCTAGGGAGGATGGCTAGGAAGACACCTATGGATTCCAGTAGGGTTTAGGAAAGAGCTAGGCATTAAGCTGCTCCCCGCTTTCAAGCCTGAAGCACTGAAGGCATGCATAGATGTAGGTACCTGAGAAGTTCAATGCTGACAAGGGGGGTGGTTTCTGGAGTTCAGCACTCAGGTCAGGTGGCAGCTGAGCATAAGGTTTGGAAGACTACAGTTTTGGCCAGAGGGTCTAAATAAAATAAAAATTAGGTTCGTGGTGGCAGGAGGGCTTAATATGCATCATGGGGATCTGCCTGCTGTATCTCACCCACCGTAGAAACCAAACCGCAGTAACTGTAATAATTGTTTCGCTCAGGGGTAAAATGTCCCAGTTTAACTTACACTTGGTGTGAGACAGTAGATAGATAAAACAGTTACAGTGGCTTAGCTGATACTGAAAGATCATTTCATTGATATTTAGATACCTAAATTCTGCCCAAGTCTCTTTGGGGATCCAGGACCTCATGCCTACATTCTCAGTCCTCAGTCTGGTGGATTCTGCTTTTGGTTGTTGCTAAAATGGGAGAAGAGCAGTTGGCTTTCTTGGTATCTTTGTGAAAAGAAGAGGGTAGTGGTGTATGGAAGAGGCTGAAAAGCACTGGCCTCAATATTGCAGAAGCACTACAGTAACCCAGGTTTCCTACAATAGTTTAATTTGGCTAGAATTTCAAACACATCTGAATCTCCCCTTCAGCCATTTGCTGAATACGTCTGAATTCTTGGACCCTTAGTTTCATTATGAAATGAACTCTTATTTTGATATCAGCTCAGAGAAAGTTGCTCTTGGATATAGACTGCCCCCACTGAGAAACATCCAAGATGTTTCTTGAATTTCTGTGACGTCTCTGGCTCACACTGTGAATGGGGGTCTGTAGCACAGGGGCTTCTGGGTTGATTTTAGCATGTTGTTTATTCCTGGGTTTGCTTAACTGAGAGCAGGTACTTTCACACTTAAGATTTCATCCTGCACTGGTGGGTACTTTGCCATTAACTTCATTGGATACAGGATTGGATCCTAACTTACAGTAAAAGTGTGTGCTATAGACTGAACTCTCTCATGAGTAATAACCTAAACTGTGACTTTCCTGGCTGTGGTCAACATGCATCTCAATCTCATTGTTATTTTAAAGTGGAGCTATGCGTTAGTGTTTGTATACCGTTGTGATAAGCAGCACGAGTACCATGGCAACAGGTTTGGCGCTTATTTATATGCTCCAAATTTGGGATATTTATAACATGGGCATTTGAACCATTTGTATGGAGCTGGAATTTGGGGCACATTCTCAGCTCAGTTTTTGTTGTAACAATGTTACTTTAAAGTGATGAGCTATTTTTAACATGCTAAAATTAAACATGTTTTGGTACTCTGTAACATTTGGAAACGGATTATTTTAAACACATAAAATCAGAGTTAGAAATAAAAATTTGAAAAATGTAAAAGGCTTAGATATATAAAATAAAAAGAGATTTAAAAAAATCAGAAAGTGTTGGGAGGGATTATGGTCTAATGGTTAGGTCAGGGCATGGGGGAATATACATTGACTATACAGATGCTCTGGTGTGGAGGTGGTGGGGGGGCACTTTAATTACAGCATCTTTTAGAGTCATTTTAATGAAGGCACCCAGAGCTCCTGTGTGTCCAACATCCCGCACTTCAAAAATGGCAGCTGGGGTGCTTTAACTGAAGCTCATTCAGTGGGTTAGCACTGAGGCCCCAGCAGTAAAGGGTGACTGCACATGGGCCTTGGCCTGTCCTGAACCTGCTTAGCAGGGACCACTCTCAGCATGATAGTTCAAAGGTTGACGAGTGGGGTTTGTCAGAAGGAACCTGTTTGTGACTTCCCGTGATTCCCATTCCTTGATCCAGATGGCATCTGCAGACAAATCCTGGTCAGGGAGGTTGTTCCACAAGGGGCATCATGAA